ATACATCATAACTTTACTTTTGTGAGTTTATGTTCATTATGGTCCTGCTTCTGGAGAAATAAAGTGGATAATTAAGCACAGAAGACAATGTGTTGTTTCCATATGTGTAATTCTGGTCTTTATAGCTTTTAAGAAAAAAAATAATGTTTATCTGCCATCTTTTGGGAACTGAATGTGTAGTAAATGTCCATTACAGTTATTTTGCTAGATTTCCTACTGGTATTTAAGAGAACTGCTTCTCATCCAGAATTGTTTGGTGTCCTCTAAAAACTTTTTAAAAAATTCTGATTTGTAGTTTCTACAGACATGACACACTTGGTGAATATTGTTTAATATAACAGGAACACCCTATAGGTGATTAGAAAGTATAAGATAGTGAAATATTTGCCTCTGTGATGAAATAAGCAGAACAGACTATTTATTGGGTTTGACTTTATTAACAGTAAGTAGTGATATATACACATATACCACTCCTTTCCCAGCGAGTGATGCTTGGGGCATGTGAAAACTTGCATGGTTAGGAAGTACTCATTGATTCCCACAGGGGAGTTACTGCAGCATGTACAAAAGCTAAGCAGAACTGCAGAATGGCATTATTTTGGTAAACATCATGATTTGAATTCACAGATATGTGACTGTGATGGTTCTCACACAGCACACCTCATGCCACTAAGCTCTAAATTGCACCTATCTTGGCACAAATATGCAGGTCCTATTCATGCAGCAAATGTACTTTCAGAACAGGTCCTTTTCTCATTCAGAAAACTGAGAGCATCACCTTTAGCATGCACCGGCAACAGTCGCATCTCTACCACCTGCTGGGCAATGCACCCCTTCACAATCGAAAAGCTACACAACTTCGAGGTGCCTGCCCTTCAACTTCGGAGATGTAATCACTCTTTGCAGGTTTCACCTTACATGCAGAGACACTGCAAGTAGGGGTTTTAAATGAACGAAGCAAAGTCATCTTATAATCCACTGGCCAACTTTTAACTCAACAGAACATATTTTAATTCCATTCAAACCATTTCTCAAACAACCAAATGGAGGAGTATGTTTGTAAAAGAAGTTGAACTAAGAAGATATTAGATCTTGAGTAAAATTAGTGGCAATGTAAAAAGTCTGTAATGAAAAAACTATTGGTGATTTCCAATTTATTTTTGATTTCTCTTTCAGGGTTAGGAATAATTTTATATTGTAAAAGGAATATTAATATTTTTCAAAATATAATTTTTCACAAGAAATTGTCAATTATTATATGAACAGAATTTTTTAAAAACATATTTTGAAAATGTTTACAATCTGAAGTTTTGATTTCAGTTAGCATTGAAAGTACTTTTTTGGAAACTTTAAATTGTATACATGAGATGTGACTATACATCATATAAATGATATATGTATGTGGGTGCTAAACCACGTTTTATTTTTAAATTTTTAAAATATGTTTATTTCTGTTTCTAGATAGAGACACACTTAATGATAAGGTCCAAATCATAATTCAGCCATTGATTTCATCCTACCTGGATGCCAAATAATATGCTAAATACTGGGGCAAAGAAAACACAAGAACACCAGTGTGAACCCAACTCCTCAGAAGTTCATAAGGTTAAGCATTTTCATATATCTGAAAAAACTTATTGTACATGTTAAACCCAGTAGGAACAGCACTGTTTGAATTCTTGTGACAGAAGCCTTTAAGTCCTAGTACAGTAACTAAAGGAAATGTTTTCAAGACAATTAGAAATGGCTGAAGCATTTTTGATATATTTAATATTTCTTGTTAAATGATCAGTGATTCAAAGATTATTTAATTTCACTTGAAGAGGCACTGTAATCTTCACTTACAATAGAGTTAAAGGTAAATGCATAACCCTTCTTGTTTCTATAGGAACTGCATTTTCAGAGCTAATTACTAAGTATAGTTGTGATCTTCTTATTCCTTCCTTTTCCAGACCTTATGGCAAAATAGAAGTACAACACCCTTTCAAAGGGCCTTTACAATTAAAGAGTTAATAGGCTCTTTTAAAAGTGCTTTTAGATTGTGATATGCACATAATTCCCCAGAGCAAAGATGAGAAAAAAGTCTCATCAGCTTTAATGTTTATATGGAGACCTGCCTGAATGGTCAGCAGTACAGAAACATTTGATTTCTTGTTTTGCATTGTTGTTTTACCTCTTCCGAAAGCCAAATGCCTACAACTGAAAGAAAATGGTAAGCTCCTCAAGCTGCACTAAGTTCTGCACCTTACTTTAGAAGTACCTTTTGAGATTCACAAAATATGTATAATTGCTCAGCACAACTGATAGTTGAAGAGATGCAGGAGAGTTCTTAAAATTTTCTATTGCTTCATTGTTTGAAGAAGTTCCCTTTGGTGATCCATCCTCCTTGAGTTTCAATCTCTAATTTTTTTCAGATTACCTTGTAGCATCTTCTTACTTTAGAAACAACTCTGAAGATACCTTAGTGATAACCTTAGTATTTTCCTATTTTCAGTCCATAGTAATTCAGTCTTTATGTATAGCTATCCTGCTTTATCTTCCACCTAGATTAACACTCATAAGGCAGCACTATTCAGAAGAGATTCCCATTTCTTCTTGTCAGGACATTTCTTGGAGTAGTTCTTTATCATGCTGTTTATAAACCTTCAGTGAAAGCACACTTAACTGGCAAATTCTAGATATTGCTGTATGCAATTTCCAATGGTGATGAAAATATCGGTTCAATTTTCTCAGAACAGCAATCTGTTTGTGTTACTAGCAGTCTACAGAAATCCCAGTAATGTTTGGGGGCTTTTGGTTTTTTTTCAATTAACTACAGTTCAAGACCTGGGACCCAGTGTTAACTTATTTGGATACTCAGTTTGAGACCAGCTGGAGGAAACTTGTATTATGTGTCAGTACTTTCTAAAAATTGGTTGACTTGAAAAAGTCAGTGAGAGAACTGCTTTTTAATCCACATAATAGGGAGTTTATTTTATGAAAATAGTTTTACCAGGTATTGTTTATTTCTGTTTCTTCTCCAAATTTTGCAGGAACTCTCAATCCTTTTATTATAGATTATCCCTTCCTACTGTTTCTTTTCAATCCTAAGATATTCCATATAATGTAGTATAAGCCATAGTTCTCCTGTGCGGATGTTTGGCACATGATTCTGGATTAGCAGTGCTTCCCTTTATTGATAAGTGCATTATGTGTATTACAGCATCATCAGAGGTAGGGCCAAGGTCAAGATGCTGTTCTTCATATTTATCAGTGGCTAAAAGCAGCTAGCTGCTCTTCTTTGGTTTCAGCCTCCCTATGTGGGTGCCTTATGCCAGAGAAGGAGCCAATAGAAAACAGGAAGTCTTGATAACCACCGAAACTGACCACTGAAGCTGAAGGGAAAAGCTTCTGTTGTGAAGACAAGTTTTCGTAGCTCTGAAGTATGGCTACCAGGGCTATCACTTGAAAGAAGAAGGAGAAACACATAACCTTGGACAAAACATTGCTGGTAAAAGAATAAAGAACTATGCTTCATTTGGGCTAGCTTCCCTTATTCTAAATTATCCACTCCAACACATCTGGGTTTTGAAGAATGTGTTATGTGTGTTTTCCTCCCACCCTGCTATGTTGGCAAAAAGCAACTCACCATTATCATTCAATTATTTGTGACTTTCAAATTACTGCTCCTATTGGTACGAGAAATTCCTTAAATGTACCAATATTTCATTGGTTTTGTAACATAGATTTCTGAGGATTGCAGCCTCCAGCCAGTTTTCCACAGAAAGAGATATGATTTGCTGCCAGTAAAAAAATTAAAAAGAAATAAAAGATCATTCTAAGACTCATCTTAGGCACTTGACATCGCTGCTCCTGAGTTGCTCAGTACGAACCTGACACTCCATGTACTCAGTTAAAAAATGTGTTAAACGCAACTAATTCAAAGAGTACAAAGAACACAGACGGGGGTACTGATCTCCAAAACCCATGCAGCACTGACTTCTGCGAGCGCAAGGAGGAACAGGGGCAGCAACAGCCATCCCAGCAGCAAGTGCAAGCCAAGCAAGTAGCGAAGAGGCTGGAGACACCCTCACACCGCCAAAGGTCACCGTCCCCTCCGCAGCACGGCCTCGAGGACGCCGAGGACGCGGCCACCTGCAGAACACAAGGCCGACGGTCACCGCTCGGTAGCCGTCCCACCCGCCCTGTCGGGCCCCTGCCCGCCGCCGAGCCGCGCCAGACTCCAGCGCTCGCCCGCCGGGGCCTCCCCGAGGAGCCGGCGCCCCCTCGACCCGCCGGACAGCGCTCTCCGTTCTCCCGGAGGGTTCCCGGTGCTGCCCCGAGCGGCGCCGTCGGGCGGGCACCGGGACGGTCCCACAGCAAGCGGCGGTTCCACGGTCCGCGCCCTCCCCCCGCACCGCCCCTGAAATGGCCGCCCCGCCGCGCGGGTTTCTACCTCCTCCGCGCCCCCCCGGCTCCCGGGGGAGACACACCCCCAAACCGCGGCACCCCGCGGAGGCGGTGACGCTGCGACCTCTGAGCTGCGGCGCTGCCCCGGCCTTCCCGGGAAGCGGCGAGGCGGGAGGACGGGTGGAAACAGAGGGCGATCGGCCGCGCCACCGCCCGCGCCGGGGCGGCGGGGGAGCCGCGACTCGCGGGGCTGCGGGGGCGCTGCGCGCGCCCCCTCCTCACGGCGCGGGAGGGCAAATAAGGGCCGGCCGGTGCCGGCCCGCGGCGCGGCCGCTTCTCCGCAGCCCACCGGAGACTGGGGCCCCGGGTGGCACGGCCGCCGCTCCGCGAACCGCTCTGCCTCCCCGAGGTACAGCCGCTGCCTCGGCGGGACTCGCCGGCGTGTGAGCCGCCGCGCGGAAGGAGCCGCTCCGCCTCTGACAGAGACGCTCCCCTCCTCCCCACCTCCCGCCCCCTCACCTCGAGCTGGCGCTGCCTCCCGCGCTGCCGGAGCCACCGCCTCGCCTGCCCGCCCGCCCGCCACCGCGCCCCGCTGCTGTCCCCCTGGTGCCTGGCCCCACCGAGGGGCAGGCGGCCAGCCCAGCCCTCGCCCCCGCCGCCCGGCTGCGGCTGCCGCGTCTCTCGCCCCCCGCTGCAGAGAAGGGGCAGCGGCGACTGCCAGGCGGGAGGAGAAGAGAGGGGCCGCCAGCGGCTCGGGCAGCGCGCTGCGTCTTGGTCTCCGGGGATGGACTGGGCTTCGCCCTGCGCCTCAGCCTGCTCGCGGAGAGGAGGGCGGTGATCGACCGCCCAGCCCGCCAGGAAGGACAGGTACCCCCGCCTGCGCCGCGGGGCCGGCACGACCCTGCTGACGCCCGGTTAAATGTCACGGCTCGCCGTCCGCTCCCCGCCGCCGCCCCGCGCATTGTTCACCTCGGGAGGGGGCTGTGAAGGTGGCGGCAGAGGCAGCCTCGGCTGCGGCGCGCCCCGCCGCCGCTCGCCGTGAGGGAGCGTCCAGGCAGCCGCCAGGTAAGCGGTGGGGGAACCCCCGGTGCCGTCGGGGGTGGCGGCCGCGGCGAGCCCGCCCGTGAGGGTAGAGTAACTTTCGGGGAGCCTCCGGGGGAAGAAGAGGAGACCGCGGCGCGGGTCTGCGCCCCCCTGCCCCGGCGTGCGCCCCCGGTGAGTGGGGTTGAGGGGGCGACAGCCGTCGGGACGCGGCGCAGCGGACCCTCCACCACCGCCCGCCCGACCGCCCGGCCTCGTCCCTGGCCCCCCCAGGGCTGTGGGTGCGCGGCGGACGGCGCTGCCCTCCCGGCAGCGGGCGGTGTGGGGAGAGAGGGTGTCGGGGTGCCCTAGTCGCGGGCTGAGAGGACGGGACGCCGTGCCCAGCGTCACACCTCCCCTGGGGAAGAGCTTTCCCTGTCGGGCTGCAAACCGTACGATGGGAGCAGGAGTCCTCCAGGGGCTCCGAGCGACGTGACACAAACACAATAGACCTTTGTCGCCAGTGCAGGGATGCTTCCACACCTGTGTCCACTGCCATGGTGGATGTGCTCGCTGGAGTACGTGCATCAGTAAAGTGGGGCTTTGGGGGCGAGGGGCGTGGGGGCTGGTATCGGTGGTGTGCGGTGAGGGCACTGTTTTACCTTTGCACGGCATATTCAAAATAGCTCCCGTTTTAAGGAAGCAAAGAGAAGTACATGCAGGTGCTCTTGAACATACCTGGGGAACAAATAACGGCAAGAAAAACATCTACTGTTATATCATTTCTCCAGTCTCTTGTCTCTAAATTATAAGGTTTTTTAAGTTCTGTTCCGTGGTTGCTGGAGTAAAAAGCAAATGTTCTTAAGCATTTCGCCCCTATAGCTTTCCTTGCCAAGCAAAGAGCTGCAGTGGTTTTTTAGTACGTGCTGCTGTCTCAAAATACTGTTCTTTCAAAAGACTTTCTCATTTAAAAAGAGAAACGTCTCATATAGAAAGGAAAACGTCTGAACGCTGAACGTTTCAAAAATAAATCATATCTGAACTTGCATTGCTTTTCAAGTGCTGAGGGAAGGGGGGAGGCAGAAAGGAGCACACAGCTTTTTTGTGCCTTTGTCATGAAAATGAGCCATGCAGTCTTTATTTCAGTCGAAACTATAGCACGAAGGGAATGGAAGTGAAAATTAGTTTTGTAGTGTTCAGAGAGGTAAGCCATAACCTGTAAAGCGTGGACACATTAGTTCTGAAGCCTTACCCCACTTTTTACAGTGACGCATCTGGAATTGACAGATCTACAATGTAAAGTATAGGTAAGAAGATTTCATCTCAAACTGATGTATATGCCCTAAACTAATTATATACCATTTAACTCATTGTTCAGGAACTACAACAGCTGTTTCCACATGGAAAAAAAAATGATAGGAGATGGAATAAAAGGATATACTTTCTTGAGCTTCTGCCTTCCAATGGAAAGGACAAAATTAAAAGAGATGGTCAGTCTTCCTGCCATATGCAATCAAAGCACCAGCAGTTCCATTAGAGGCTACACCCTTTCCAGGAAGTGCTTCCTTGTAGAGGTGAAGCTGTTTTGTGGTCTACTTTGCTGTATAATGGACCACACAGAGGAGTGCACTAACATCAGTATATTCCTACTCCCACTACGTATATACGTGTAAACACCCCAGTCAAAAATGTACTTTGAGGGTTTTTTTTTCAGATCAGCACTTTAAAATGATTGACCCCCCCAACTACTGTGCCACCTTATTTTTCTTACTTGAAAAGTAGTGATTTTGATAGTAGCTAATATATGTGCATCAGAACAGTGATACTGTTCCTTTTAGTTAAACAGAATATCTCTGAAAACTGTTCTTAGTGCTCTGAATTCCCTCTTGAGAGAGTAGGAATAACACCTACGTAGACTGAACAACAAAGGTGTGATCGGATACATATGAACAGTGTGGTTTGGTAGTATAACAATATCAGATTTTTTTGTTACTGTTCTAGAATCCAGGCATTCACTGAAAGGGCTCTAGGAGGAAATGTTACCCTGAGTAGTAGCAGCAAGAGGTGAAGAAATACAAAGTATTAGAGAAGCTCGTTAGTTTAAGCGGCTGTCCACAAATACTGTGATTACTACTGCTGTGTCGGTATGCCACTGTGAAGTAATATCAGAATTTGAGTATCCTGCCGTTGGGAAAAAAAAAAAAAAAAAAAAAGACCAAAGTATCTTACCCTTTATAGTTCTGAAGCTGTATCATTATCCTTCAATACAGACAGTTAAGGAAGTCTGGAATCTGGAATATTAGTGACTCTGTGTTGAGTTTAGCAATGTAAATCTATGTTTGTGCCTTTTTCATATCTTTTATTAAGACCATTCAAATCACACAAACACAGGGTGGGTGTGGTTTTTGGAGAGGATGTTGATGAGGATTCTAGGAGGATTCCTGTGGTGGTTTTTATAAGTCATGCTAGTATGATTGTTTGTTTTTAGGGGCTTTGTTTGTTTATATACATTTTGACTATCTAAACCTCAGTGAATAAAGCAGGGAAAAAAAGGTTAAGGAGTTCTGAAGGCTCTGTATGTAGCTGTCTGTTGTTTCATTGGCTCGTCCTTTGTGGGAAGGTGGATTTTCTTCTAGCTGTTGCTGATAATTAAAAATCCAGATGAGGGATGAGTGGATCAGAGTCAGTAAATTTATATAATACTGGGTATGTGTATTGCCGCATTCTCCTATTGCGAAGGAGCTTACTTGGCTACTGTTGCTTATATTAAATACATTCTGATTTTCTGTGCTTGCTCTTCCCATTTTGTACAGATATTCAGGACATTTAAGAAAATTCTAATTCTAATTAGTTACTGATTGACATCCCTGTGTCATAAGGCTGATTTGGTTAAGCTGTCTCTAATTATGAATCTTTACAAATTATTGCTTATTTCTAATTAGTGCAGTGACTAGATTAACTGTTCATTTTCCAGAATGTTTTCACCTCATGAATTTTCAGCCAGAAACTTTTTTTCCCACCTAATTTTGAAAGCATAAAATTAAGATTTTTTTTTTCCTTTCTTTTCTGGAGACAGTAGCTTCTCTGTTGCATTAGAAAAATACTCAAATAAATGAGATAACTCTATAAAGAATGGAATGGAAATATTTTAAATTTATAGACATTACTCCTCAAGACATGCAGTATATCAATCAGTGTTTTCTGTGCTGAGATATCAATATTATTCCCATGAGATATGCTGAGTGGAGTTCATGTTTGAATTGCTTGCTGTCTCATAAGCCTTTTTATTCCTGGGGACAATTCCATTCCATAGTGATGAGAATCTGTGACGGGAGGAAGCACAGAAGATAAACTGTCATCAGTGTTGTATAATGACATTTTGGTGGTCCGTTTTCTGGTTTTTGGTTGGTTGGTTGGGTTTGGTTTTGGTGTTTTGTTTTGGTTTGTTTTTTTTTTCCTCTCTTTCTCAGCAAGTATCCTGTGAAACAGGAGTTCGTGACATTATTTCTAATCATACTGATGAGAGTTGTTATTTGATTAAAATCTAATGTCTCACTCCCTTTGAAACTGGAAGTAGATAGTTGTATCAGCAGATTGTAGGCAAGTCTTATTATATATTGATATACCTTTTGTGTTTCCATCTTGGTTATTATTATGTAAGTCCTATTAGGTCAGTGTGGATATTTAGTGAACATCTCTTTTATGAACTGGAATTAGTGAACTGTTTAACTCATTTTCCAGAAATACTCCCAATTACATACAAATAGAATTAAGGGTGCATTGAAAGTAATACTTAAGGTAGAAGTATTTTAAACTGCTTCTTACTATTGAGCAGCACTTCAGCTAATATTTTTGTTATTCCCTTCCTAGTAGGCAAGAAATTTCTTCTAGTTTTGCATTACAAGGAAAGGCCAAATTATACATGACTTGGTGGGTTTTAAGTGGTATAGTCACAGTAGGGGATGTTTTAAAAAAAATATTTCAGAAGACTAAATGTGTCTGAAGGAAATGGGCATGTGAATTTTCGTCTTGACGGACCAATTACATTTTCTAAAAAGAAATAAAACTGAGAAAATTGAGTTTTAGTTATATGACAGTAACTGTGATTAATATTTTATAACTTTTAATAAATGTATGTTCCATTTTTACCTTTTTTTTTTTTAATAAAAATTACATGCCTTCTTAAAGCCATTATTCTTCAGGTCAAGACAGGTTCTTTTCAATGGTAAAAAATCAGATGTATCCTGTAAGACTAGAGGTAAGATATCTTAGCTCTTACTTTTTATATATCAAGTTATAATGTAAAAAATTACATTTTTTTCTGATATTTAGGTTTAATGCTTAGGAGCAACCAGTGGTCACTAGTTCAGTTTATAGAAACTTAGTAGGACACCACACTGCTCACTTCTTCTCCCCTCCAGGCCCCAATAATTTTAAGTATATCTTCAGTGTTGAAAACTTATAAGAGCCATGGGGTGGCATTTACTGAAGCAAGGCAAAGACCATCCTTGAGCTGTACAAATGCAGAGCCTCATCTCTAGCAAAGAGTGAGGTTTCACTGGAGTCCCTTCTCTTGACAGTTTTCTTGTAACTGAGAGTGTGATGTGGGGAATCACAACACTAGAGAAACCAAATAGACTGTCTTTAGAACAGGACAGCTACATAGACCATCATCCTGTCCACTTTCCAACTTTCAGGTTACTCTTTCCTTCTATTATTTCCTTCACTTTATCTTGTTTCTGCAAAAAACACAAAATTTTTGTCAAATGGTATTTAACTCTTGATTGGTATAATTCATAACTGCATTTCAACTTGTGTTTTGGTGAAGTCTTTGTAGAATAGCAGTAGGTACTGGCTGTGAAGACCTTTGTAAGACAGATTCTTTTGAGTAAAACCTCAGTTCGACATTTTATGTTACTCTATGACAAGTCATGAGTAAGTTCCCATTCACATCATACTCAGCCTCAGCACTGATATTTTCCCATGACCGCCTTTTGCAGACCAATGTGTATCAAAGTCAATCAAAATCATAACAGCTCCCCCAT